CAATCATCAGGTACAGAAGCGGTTGCGAATGAAACCCTTTTATTTCCTAAATGGCAGCCGAAGGCCACAGGTGCTTTATGATGGTCGTTGTTGCTTATTTCACGCTGTCAACATCTCTGCCTCCCGTCGTTACTCTTACGGAGCTTCACCTTCCCTGCTCTGAATGCAGCACATCGCTTTGGTCATGCAATCTGCCTCTAATGAAATCATCCCGGGGACATGGGCAACGGCATCTTGGGTTTTCGACTTCGAGTCATTCCGCTGCTTCCGACAATAGAATCCCAGATAACAACAACAGCACTAAAGTGACATTACACATTGAGATATACTATATATTTAACATTAGTACTGAGCATATATAGATGAAAAGATTACATAACCATGTTTAAGTCCCGGATTTTATTGGCTTTTGTGTTGGGGATGATGACACTACCTTTTGATATCAAATATAGCTTAATCGTAATTTTTTTTCACTTTCATGTATTTTTCTACTAAGGCAGTAACATCATTACTGACCACTGCCATTAACATCATGTGTGTGTGTGTGTGTGTGTGTGTGTCCAAAGGGTAAATGCATGCACATTGGCATGAAGGGCACAGAGTAGGCAGCCGTCTCCTGAAGGAGGAATGCGTTTGAAAAGAGCCTCTCATGACCCGGCTTGATCTCGCCCCTTCATTCTTCGGGTGGGGGTGGGGGGGGGTTGCATGTGTGTGTGCCTGTGTGCCCACGCTCCCTGTTGGGGGATTTGCAGATCTGCCCAACCGCCCCCCTCCACCCCCCCGAGGTTAGGACTCTACTCCCACCAATGGCTCACAGCGCCAATCTGACGGACAGCTTGGTGCAGCTTTTCTGCCGGAGGAACCCGCCCACCAGCGAAGGTCCAAACACCTGACGGCCCGACAATCTTATCGGCCCTGTGATGACAGCCGAGAAGCTGCTGTCCCCCACGCCTCACTCTCCGCCTCGCAGTCTGTCTGCTTGTTGTTTGTCTGCCCAACACTGGTGACTTGTCGAGACTCGGCTGCAGGAGACAGTTTGACAGACTGTTACGGAGACAAACTGCAAGAATGCAGTTGATTATGCGCTCTTTAGAAAGAACTCGTTTGATATAATCAGAGCATACTGTACACATTCACATGCATGTCATTCACATACCGTTCAAGGGAAGACAAGAGGGGAGAGAAAATTGTTAATTATGCATATGAAAAATGCTTCAATCTTGAGGATTTTCGATAAATAAATGTCACCATCCATTGCCAAATAAGAGCAACACATTTCCTACTGCTGCAGCTTGACATTAAAGGCATTTTTCTGGCAAAACAGAGGTTTATTTATTTCAAAGTCACAGGAAATGGAATGGGTTTTTCAGTGAGTTCACCATTGTCCGATAATTGGTATTATTAAGTACTTCTACAGAACAAAACAATGGTTCCTTTCAGATGAACACCTGCAGGCTACACGCTGCCCACCTCAAACTTCCCTTTTACAGAATTATGCCGTAAGCGGCATTACATTCACAGAATGTAGGAAAAAAAGCCAAGAATGTCCCGATTCCTATTTTAAAACAACACACATTTCTTCTGCTCTTCACAGTATTCTGGGCCATGTAGAATTAAACCACTTTAAAGCTTGATCCGATTGAACACTGACTCACTGTTGCGCTCCTGACTCATACCACTAACAGAAAAATAAACTAAAAGAATTTCTTGCCACGTCAATAAAAACACCCCCACAAGCCATCTGCCTTGTTTCTTCCTCCTTAAGAGGCAAACTGAGCCTTTTGAGCCGGGACGCCCACTCAACAATCAACAGTCCAACACAGCTTGAACTAGGTGACCCTCATATAGAGCTGGGCGGGACGGCCGAAAATCCATATCACGGTATTTAGAAAGATTCTGGCGGTGTGCCGGTAAATGTTTTTTCCAAGTAAACACCTTAATTCATTGACCCCCAAAAAAGGGCCGCCGCTCACTGGCCAACTGGCGCTGGCGAGTTGGCTAGTTAGCGTGTTAGCTCGTTAGCTTGATAGCTAGTTAGCGTGTAAGCTCGTTAGCTTGTCGTGTTGCCGCCAGAGGCTCGACAGACTTTGCAGTACAAATTGTTCATGTGTCACTAGCTGTTGTGTCGTGGTCAGCTGTTACGGCGTAACACCAGTATGAACGGTTCGCGAGAAATTCACACCGTAAGGAGATTGAATATTAAACCCCCGATGAGCGCGGTGCCGACCGGAGGCCGTGATGTGTCCCGGCAGAGGAACGTGCGGTGCTGTTGACGACGGTGTCGGTCGCAGCCTTCCCACCCAGGGGACACTCGGTCACGCGGCCTTAATTTCCCATCTTTGGGGTCAGAAATGTATCTATAGACACACACCCACAATCCCCACAGGTGATCCACGGCTGCAATAAGCCGGCGGCTTAAAGCTGGCATGTAGGAAGGCTGTAGAAAACAGCATTTAGTTACATATAGTGAAATCGTATTATTTTGGAGGGGAGATAAGGATTTAATTCAATAAAAATAGCTTTTTATTCTTTGCCTGCATAATCTGATGTATGACAAAGGGTTCTCTGCGTAATGTGACACATTTGCATTCTTCAAAAGTAAGAACATTCGCTGGAACAGAGATGCACCCGCAGTGTTTCTGGGTTTCACATCGGTGCATATTGACACAGTGACGGATTTTGCTGTGAACAACGATAACTTTTTTAAAAAGGCAACGCTCTGGATTCAACCGAATCTGCCTGTACATGCTAACGGCACCGCGGTTCCACATACTAAAGTGCATCGCGAAAACATGTAAACAAAACCAATCGGCCAACAACATCCTCACTTCACAGGAAGCTGGACTTGTATCTGAAAGCGCAAGCCGAGCCCCCTGCTGTGTTCAAGAGGCTCCCCGTAAAAGCATGGCTGAGAGGCTGCCTCTCAGAGAAATGCCTCATTCAGACTCAAACTGGCATCAGCTGTTGGCAGGCAGCCCAGAGTAAAAAAAAAAGAAAAAAAAAGAAAATCCCTGTGACGGGTGTCCTTTCTGGCAAAGTGATCTGTGAGGATAAAAGGATTAAAAAGTACCGAGAACTTCCCTCAGCAAACAAAGAACGTGACCAATATCTTTTGAAGATTAACTGTGGTGACAGGGAGTGAGAACAAAACTGGTATGGAGACATTTCCCGTGTCCATTAAAGAGAGAAAATGACGTCTGCAACATGATAAGAATATTTATTTCTCATCAGTCTACTACAGGAAATCCCAAGTAGGGCCTGTAATATTTCAACCTTGCTATCATGCATTTTAAAACAAGAGAGAAATCACTATTTTGGCACAATTTTTGGACAGTTATATATAAAAGAAATAGCAAAATACAGAGTAGAAGTTGATGCCAGTTTGGACACACTTTCTCATTTAATTGAATGTGTCCAAACTTCTGACTGGTACTACAAGTACATCCGAACACAGACACCTCCTGTAAGTCCCGACGTCCTTCTTAAATTCACTGGGGTTTTGCAGAGGTAAGACGTAAACCTGCTTGAGGCTGCAGAGAGCCCCCCACTGTGCAGTAGGTGTACACATCTATTATTGGATACCATTGCAGCTGCACCATCGAACACAGAAAGGCAATCCTTTGTCACGGCTATAATCATCTCAGCGCGTAGCTGACGCCGCCTTTCCCTTGGGAAGAAAGCGCTGCTCGTCATTATACCCTCTTCATAATTATCACCCATCCGACGGGGAGGGGCGAGCGTGGACAGCCAGGCAGCCCCCTGTAGATGCGTGATGAATGAGGGTGTCAGCCGCATTCACCCAACTAGCGGCTCTGTCTCCGAGAGGGTTCGGCCCCATGAGGCCCGTCTCATTAACCACAGTGATCAGTCCTTAACCAGAGACGGAGACAGAGGAGTAAATGATTTTCTGTGAGACGTGAACCACCATTTTTCTCATCGGTCATATCAGTGCATGAAAAAGGCCTCATTGCTGCTTTCAAGGGTGTTTGACTTTGACTAGAAATCATTTTTCTTAGCCCGTTAGTGTCTATTTGAACAAATAATTTGTTATTTAATAGTTTCATACTGCACAATTTTGAGAAAGGGACAAGCAGGGGCCGACACTGAAACCCCCACAGTCTCTCTCCCAATTGTTTTGTGTGCTGCATTATTGATGAGGAACTGACATTCTACACTCCCGGTCTCAGTGGCTCCACTGTCACCTGCAGCACCGTCTCCACAATCCCCACTCTGACACACTGTCAGGGCCACAGAATGAAGTATCGTGCCCACGGGGTACTGTGTGGGATCCCATTGTGTTCGCCAGTGAGTTCATGGTAAAGTGCTTCACTCTACTGTGACATTGTGCTTTTTCATAATAAACTTAAAATCATAAATAATAAGAACACCGCTTACGACCTCCTGTAACTACTGTGTGTCAAACTGTTGCTGGGGGCGGCATCAGGGCCGTGTGTGTGTGTGTGTGTGTGTGTGTGTGTGTGTGTGTGTGTGTGTGTGCGCGTTCAGGTCAGTAACACAACAGCTCTGTGATAAAAATGATGGTTCCAGGAAATTGGGAAATACTTTCAGCAAACCTCACAATCATCTAGTGCAGCGTGAACCTGCTGCTTGTGATGGCAACATCCTCCAGAGCCCGAAGACAAACTGTCAGTCACACTCTCAACAGTTCTCCTCTCGGCTTTGAAGGCTGCAATTAAGTGAGCTTGAAATGCACAAATGTTAAATCCGTTACTTAATGCACCACATAGGAGGGAGTTAACAAGATCACAACCTCAGGCACGCACTTATTCTTCTCATCGTGCGTGAGCAGCTCATAGCGGCCGTTTATCACCTTACTTTGCAGCGTGCGCGCACACACAGCCGGAGCGCACGTTGGTCCCTCTAAACCCCCCCACACCACACACACACACACACACACACACACACACACACACACACACACACACACACACACACACACACACACACACACACACACTGAAGAAAGGAGCGCAGCCTACCTCGGCTTGGCCGTGACACCTCCGCTCGTCGGCTTGGAGCAGTTGCTGGCAAACAATGTGACGCTCGCGGTGCAAAAGAACAGCTGGTGAGCGCAGAAGTTTATGGACGACTGAGGGGATTCTGACGCGCGGTGCGTCGGATGAGTATCACGCGCAACACGGAGGCGTGTTTATGGCAACGCCCCAAAACAGAAGGGATCCGGTTCAGATCGCCGGTGGATCATTAAGGCGCGTTAACGACGTTGCTGTCCAACTTGGATGTGCGTAACGGGCGCGCTACTCTCTCTCTCTCTCTCTCTCTCTCTCTCTCTCTCTCTCTGGACGTGGTGCCCAAACGGGACACGTGTTCAACCCAAGGGGGACGGGAATAGCTGGAGTCTCCCCCCCCCTCACGTCAGCAGCTGTGATCGGTTACGCCGCTACCGTGCCCGTGTGTGTGCCCTTACACTCCGCCTCCAACGCCCCCCCCCCCTTCATCCCACGTGGCCTCACGGTGTCGCTGTCATGTTTAGCTCAGGATGCGCTGTATTGATGTTACCTGTGTGGAAATGCACCAGTCACATCGGATAATTAAGAAATGTGTAATTAAAACTCGCTCTGCAACATTTACATCAACGGAACAATCAATTATTATTCTCGTTGAATAACACCAATGTTTCCCCCCCGAACTCCAACTTTGATTGTTGCTTATTAGAAATTTAATGTAGAGAAATACTCCAAATTCTCAAAGTGGCCCCTTTGTTCTCTATACGATAACTGAATGTGAAGGCTGCTTTAATTTGCTGCTTTGTATTCCTAAAGTTCTCTTCTGTAACGTTTAAAGCGACAACTGCAAACTGCTCAGTGAACTCTCCCGGGATTAATAAAGAACACATACTGTACATTGTCTTAATCAGTAGTTATGATGTTCATTTATTGAATTACAGTCTCATTTAAGGATAACGAGTGGTCATGCTTTAGGTCTTTGCCACCCAGTGATTGACAGCCTGGCTTTGTCCGTTCTGGGTTTTGTCCACATTTGCATTTGAGAACTTTAACACTTTCACAGTGTTCTCAGTTCACAGTTGTACAGTGTCCTTCAAATGTTTTGCCTCTCAAAACTCAAGGCTTCAAAAACGCAGTCGACTAAGTGACTACGTCCAGAGGCTTTAAAAATATTTCATGAGGACCACAATTTGTTTTTTAATCACTGCATGTAAAGTGAAATACAGATTATTGACGCATATTCTTGGAATATGTATCTAAACGCAGAAGGTTAAGCAACAGTTTTGTTTCTCAGTAAACATGGTTGATTTCAGAGGAGCAAGCAGAACAGAATCCCTTTGGCCTTTTGCATCAAACCAATGCTCATTGGTTTGGAACATGGAGGGAACAGAAGCTACAATTGTGCAAACGCCAAACAGAAAACCATGTGCCAGCTCTCTGACGCCGAAAAACGTTCCAGGGTTTAGTCATGGCCTGCATTTAACCAAAGGATATAATGACCATTCTGATAGTAATATTATACATTCATCTCATACAATACATCTCATATATAATGATTTGGTGTTAATGTGATGTTAATACATCAAAGAAAAACAAATGTTAATTGCATTTGCCTCAAAGTGTGTGAACACTCTTTGCTCCCACTAATTCACAAAGCAGCCTATACGCATCAACTTTTCTCTAAAATGGTTAAAGAAAAGCTCCCGTTTTTTGACAACAACATGAGACTTTTCAGGCTGAATCCACCTCCTCAGCTACTTGTGGTCTGTTTGAAGGTGGGCGAGAGGAAAAAACATTGCGTGTGCGCTCATTAGCCTGCTGTGGGAATGCAGGCAGGGGAATGTCACATCATTACTGCTCTGTGCCTACTCTGCATGCACAACGGAAACAACTTCAGCTACTGCGATGGAAACCGTGGACCTGTGGTGTAATGGCACAATAATTGTCACGTCCAAAATATGTTGGAAGGAGGAAGGCCTGGAAAGGATGCTGGTGTCCAGACAAGTAATAACAATAGATTATCCAGTCTATAGTGCCATGTGAATTTAACATGAAGGGGGCTTGAAATGTGTCCATCCTAAATGTTTCTATCACAGTTCCTCTGAAAATAAGGTTTTGGTCCTGAAGATGAAGACGAGAGGAGTCTTTTCCGAGCCCGTAGGTAAGCCGACGTGGGAGTGCTGCTGAGAAACAAGGATTTGTCTCCCAAATGACTGCCTTCAAAACCGCTTTCAAATGCAAATGGGACAGATGTCAAATAGTAGCAGAGCTGTACAGTCGTACGCGTTGGCATCTTAATTAGTTCCTCTGTGACAAGGTGCTCATTCACTGGTGACAAGAAGGACAACTTCATGCCGGAGGGCGGTCTTTGTCTCTCCGTCTTTCCCGCTCACACACACACACACACACACACACACACACACACGCACACACACACACGCACACACACCATCGAACAGATGGTTAACAGAGACTTGTGCCGTGTTCACACGTCTTATCGATTTGTCTTATTCAAAGATTGATCTCCATTTGGCCTGTAAAAGCACATCCAGGACGAAAATATTGTCCTCAGAGGAAGCGTTCAGGGGAGCCATGCACGCTGGGAAACAGCATTCCAAAAGAGACTGAAGGGGAGCCAGCAAGCTTCCTCTGCACGCTCGGATATTAGCATACGGCCTTTGAGATGGGACCTTTGACCTTTGGTGCTGCTCCTTCCTACTTTACATTTATGTTTATGCAGTTGTCTGATCAACTGGGTCCCAGGGGTTCAGCGTGTCCACACGACTGAATATCAAAGGTGGCGGGTGAAACTTTGCGCCGACGTGTGAACACTGCGGACGGGTTGCTCCCTCCAGGACATGTCTTTGCTAGCTTGGGAAGATTCATCTCCCTCGAGGTCACATCAGGACACGTGTGACACATGCAAAAATTCCACCCTTGACCCGACGACGGCTCCTTCTCACTGTGTCAAGTTCTCAAGCAGTCCATGCATTCATTCGTACAAGGCAGGGTCCTTTAGAAGTGGGCACTCAGGAATGAATGAATTACATTTCTGAAGTAACTCCGACTTACAATAAACCTCTTCTCTTTTCCCCAGTGAACTAACAACCAAGCATCTTTCAATGACACATTTTTCTACAGATTAAATAATGTTAAAGAACTGAATGAATCATTTCAAACAGCTCAATAATGAGATGTCCATGTCTTATTTAATCCTGCTATGTGAAGGTACAATGAGAACACATTTCCTTTTGCCCTTTTAGGATGATTGTCCTCTTCCCCAAACAAAGACAATGTTACATACGGAAGAGACTTAGAGACACCATTTGGAGTCTTTGACCATTTTGGGTGCTATGGAGCAGTACACTTATGGGTTGGTCAGCCATTTGTGCTCCTGTGCATGACGTGTTTCTGTCACGTTGCAGTGCATGAGAAGTTCATGCCGCCATTATCAGCTCATCGTCTGATCCACAGTTGGCGGATGTCATGCGCAGAGGACGAGCGAAGAAGACGGAGAGACAGCAAACACGGATGAGATGCAGGATTTGATAAATATTTAAATGAGGTTTTAATGAGGGAGGGAAATGTATTCAAAACATTTATTGGAGGTCATGGGTAGATCCATGGACGAGAGATGGTCAAACGCTCCATTAAGAGAAATTTTCAGTGAGCAGAAATACTGATGTGTTTATTTATCTTTGCCTTGGTATCTTTTCTGGTTTTGTACTTAGAAAGGAAAGCTAGTCCTCCAAAAAAAAAAAACATGAACCCTCACAAACATTGAACCAAAGGAGGTTGATATGGAGAATTTAGCATTGTGTGCAGATATGTGGCAAATCTATTACAAAGCTTCTTTAATTTGCACAGAGATCACCCCAAACATATTGTTAATCATTGCACTGCTCATGAATAGTTAATTGGAATGAGGGACAACGGAGGCTGGGGGACGGTAATAATTGATGAAGCTTCATGCAGATGGGACATCGGATACTAAATTAAGTACAATTAAGTGTCCCATACCAAGAATGACCCAATTTGAAGTTGTTGATGAAGAATAAGAAGATGAAAGATCAAACCCACTAAACGTTGTTATGCCGTTCTGAGGATTGTACTGTTTGTTGTCTGTCTGGGCTTTCTGATGATCACTCAGTCAGTTCCTTTAGTCCCTGAGGCAGCCACAAATAAAACACCACAATCACACCTGCTCATAAAAGCCTGAGAAGACATCTCCGTCTACTGCAATGCACGGACTGTTTTACCACTGAAAGTCAGCTGAAGCAGCAGAAAAAGTTTTACTACCCCTCAGATAATCAAGACTATTCATAATTTGCTCATTCCATCTGTTTATAATCCATTAAATGCACTTTTAATGATCTTCAGATCTTTTCAGTTCACAATAGTTTTTGAAAGCAAGGGGTTCAAGTTCATACAATACAAATGTTAACCACGCTTATAATGGTTGCTGAAAAAGCTATGGCCATGAAAAAAATGGATGTGACTGAAGTGGCTCAGAGCTGCAGTTTGTATCCGTTGCTGGGATTTGAACCACTTTGATTTAAAAATGTGAAAGGATCATGTTATGCAAGGTATTTAAGATTGAACCTCTGATGTGAAACAGGGCGGAATCTAATGTATCAGGTCCACATCCAAGGAAAACTATAGATCAATTAAATGTTATGTTTAATCTAGATCTATTCAGAAATTCCAAATGACCTTGCTCTACTTAAAAAAATGATATGAGAGGGTTTTGCCTTCAATAAGTGAATCCTTCATTTGAAGTTTAGGTAACAGATCATGTGGGTGTGAGTTGAACAAACCGTTTAAAAATGAAGCGGTAGGCTCCATTTCCACTATGACGATAATTCATTAAAACTGTAGCTTTTCAAGGAAAATAGTTCATATCCTCTATGTTTTTAGTGAGAATTGATGAAGGTATTTCCTCTCCACACGTACTGTTTACTTTCAAATCTGCTTCATAGTACGTTGCATTCTTCATTGAACCACATTGTGTAGGTTACAGTTTGGTCTATTTGGGCATTGCAGGGACTCATATTTCTCCGTACCAAGTTCCAAAAGCGAGCACTGAGTGTTTCGTGCATACCAGAAGAATGAAAGACAGCTGGGTAGCAGTAGGTATGGGTTGAAATGGTCCATTTAACTCTCTAGCTAATTAAATCTCGGCCTGACGGCGTGACACAACTTCTCCCGGCTGCGGAGGCCTGAGGGCTGGTCTCATGTCACAGCAGAGTTGCACAGAATATCCGAGCATCTGGTCCTGCCCGCCCTGGAAGCATCGCCAGATCA